GGGGTCCTCCACCTCTTGCATTGCCTTTAAGTTGACTTTCGGTCTTTGGGTCAAGCTCTGAAAATTGTATTACTTCCTAATTAATTTAGGGAAATAATCCCATCAAAAAAGTGTTTTGGAACAGTTGAACAAATAAATTATGAAATATACAGTATTTCTAAGATCCCGCCTATTGCCCTGCACGCTGGCTGCTCTACAAGATAGTTTATTGCTCTATGCAGTGCATTCAGAAATTATTTAGGATTTTTAAATATGTTGCAGCCTTATGCTAAAACAGTTGGAATTTACACCATCATCAATCTACACTCAATACCACATCATGGCAAAACTAAAAGAGGATCTAGGATTTATTTTGACACAAAAACAGTCCAGGTGCCTCCCATTTATCTTGATCACGTTTGAGACGTTTCCACACCTTGATTGGAGTCCACCTGTGGTAACTTCAGTTGATGGGACATGCTTTGGAAAGGCACACACCTCTCTATATAAGGTCTCACAGCTGATCAATGTTATCAGACCAAAAACCAACCCACGAGATCAAAGGCCCTGCCTGCGGAGCACAGAGACAGGATTATGTTGAGGCACAGATCTGGGGAAGGCTGCAAAATATTTAGCTGTATTTAAAGTTCTCAAAAGCACAGTAGCCTCCATAATGCTTAAATGATGGAAAAAAAAAAAAGTTTTGAAATAACCAGTACTCTTCTTTGAGCTGGTCGCCTGGCGCTATGGGACTGTGTAGCAGTTTTTCATTGACAGAGACTGGGGAACAGGTCAGTGTTAAGTTAAATAGAGCCAAGCACAGAGATGCCATTAAAGCCTGGTCCAAAGCACTCACTACCTCAAACTGCACCAATGGTTCACCTTCCAACAAGACTATGACCTTAAGCACATGGCAAAGAAATCGCAGGAGTGGCAGACTTAAATTCGAATTGAACCTCTCTAGAGAGACCTGACAATGTACTGTTTCGAGGCAAATGGCAAACGTGAACCCGTGTAATAAAGTAGAGCTTTATTCAGTTCAAAGACTGGCAGGGTTCAAAACCAAAAGATCCGGCAAACAATTGTGACGAGGCACAGGCAGGGGAATCCAAACTTGAGGCTGAAGGTCCAAACAGGCAGGTGAGGAAAATCTGGTAATCAGAATGCTGGAAAGCTATGAGATGCACATTAGACAATCTGGTAGAGTGAGTGAAACTGGTGCCGAGGGCCTAATGAGGGAATGAGATGCAGGTGAGGTGAATAGTACTGCAGAGAAGGAGGCAGAGGATCTGAAATGACATGAGATGAGATGAGACGGAAAATGTCTGGTGGTCTCCATCCAACCTGACAGAGCGTGAGAGGATCTGCAGAGAAGAAGGCAAAGCTTTTTGCGTCATACTCAAGAACAGTGTTGACAGATCAGATAGCCCATTTCAATAAAAAACAGCCCAAATCTTAACCCTGTCAGAAATCTGTAAAAACATGACATGTGCAATAGAAAACACATCATAAGCCTCGTATGCATAAAAGAACCAACGATAAATTAGCTAGATAAATAGGCTATCACTACCCAAAAAGGGTGCAGTCGGACAACCGAATACACAATTTCCCATGTCAATGATGACGTGACGGTATTGTGTTTCAACACTATGCTAAATGTCGACTAAAGCAGCCCATATACCAGCCCAGTGGCTTTCCCAGCACAACTTAATTAGAAGTAACCAAGAGCAGAAACCAGCCCAATTGTGACAACACTGCTCTCAAACACTTAACGCTGTAATTGCTGCAGAAAGTATATCAAAGTGCTGAGTTCAGGGTCTGAATATAAGTCAATGTGTTCTTTCAGGTTTTTTTTATTTTATAAACATTTGCAAACATTTCTAAACTCCTGTTTTTGCTTCGTCATTATGGGGTTATTGAGTGAAAAACATTAAATTAAGCGATTTTAGCATTTACATTTTAAGTTTCAAACATGAAATAAAAACTAAAGGGGTCTCATAATTTGTGATATATATATCAGACAAAGCTCCTCAAGAGCCACAGAAGACATTTTTCAGCTGTCTTCACAGGCTGAGCAATACCGGCAGTGACCTTTCTATTTCTTAAATTGACAGGGTGCTTTAAAAAAATATCTGTATTGTGGAAGAGATCATCCATTCTTAAAGCAACAATTCCTAAAGTTTTCAGAAACACGCATTACCTAATCAATCTTAACTTAGTTGTGTTTTTTTGGGGTTTTCAAAATGAATGCATGGAAACACCTCATCATTGCATAATAAATGAAGCATTTTCAAGACTGTAGCGGTGGCCTCAGTCCTGTATTTTTAGCCGAGGTAATGACTGGTGAAATGCAGTTTAGTATCCACACAAAAGAGCTCAGGGCAGACGATCCGAAATGCAGTGCATATGTGCTGCTTGCCTCTGGCGCCGGTTCCCTCTAGAACATCATATCCATGCCTTTCATGCCTTTGTCGATCATCAAAAGCATTAATTGTCACAACAAGCCTTTATTAGGCTGCATCAGAGTCTCTGCAAATTGTTCGGGGATGCATAACTCATAAAGTCCTTAGGCTGTAGTTTCTGCTCCACTGCAACTACATTCATAATATATCATTTAGAAAGCACTCCCAGGACACTTTAATCACTGAGAACTATATTTACAAGTAAGACAATTACTTGCCACAGTGCCAGTGAAGCTGCAGTAGTCTACTCTATACTGAGAATAATTATGCGGTTGAGTCGTCACAAGACTGCTGCATTTATTTCATACAGTGCTTGGAGATATGGAGGATGAAAAGCAAATTAATCAACTAAACAGATCCCATTAGTGCAATCTGCAACTAATGCCAGACTGCCCAGCGTAACCGAATAGTCGTAATGCATCATATATTCTGTCAACACAGATCACCGTTGTTTACAAACTCCCTTGAAAATATAAGAGCTTTTTAACATGAAAAGCCAAACAGTAAAATGAAGAGTGTGGTTTTAATTCAAATCAGTATTTTCACATGTGCATGTACAAATGTAACAGTGACACGATGATACGTGAGAGACACGTACAGAGACATTAGCTTCCATTTCACACACACAAAAAAAGCATTTTCTTTTGTTTGTGTAAGGCAACATGGGTGGTTCAACAAATAGCTTTCCATGAAATCCGTAAGTCCAATGTGTTCATGTACAGTAATAAGTTAACCAATCTGACATCACACTGCATTGAATGCATTTCATCATGTACATTGAATGGTGTACAAAATAAAAAGTCAACACGATTTGGTCCACAAAGTGCAATGGCAACAGTAGAAATATGCAGACAATAAAAAATCTGGATGCTGGTAAACATGGTCTGTCTCTTTGGTGAGTTTAAATAAAAGATTTGTTTTCTTTATTCTGTATGAAAATATTAGATAAAGTCATTTTTTTTATCGTTACATAACATGACGAGGTGGTGGAGAGGTGGGCAGTGTCACAGCTCCACGAGTTGTGATGCTGGAAACAGAAATTCAGGTAAATGACATAATAATATATTTATATCAAAATCGCTGGATTTGATGGCAGTCCAGTCGAGCAGCATACAGTAACAACAACAAAAAAGCCTGCTTTAATGTAACAAAAACATACAAAATGCAAATATGAAAATGTACATTTTACTACACGGAGTGCTGAAATATTTGACGTACTACACATGACACCCTCAACCAAATTTGGTCACAGAAATTCTGAATATTTTCCATATCTATTTCAAATCCAAAGTCCACAGTAGAACTAGATGTTATCCTGGTGAAAGTATCATAATTACAGAAATAAACAAATAAATAAATACAAACCCAAACTGATATAAAACAAGATTACTCATTGTGAAATTTGTTATATATTTTGGGAAACATATTTGCTTTCTCTTCTAAGAGTTACATGAGAAGATCATTACCACTTGAAGATTCCTGTCAGAGCCAAGCTAGCTGTTTCCCTGTCATATGCTAAGCTAACTGGCAGATGTGGGAAAGATACGAGAGGGGGTTTCAATCCGCTCATCTAACTCTCAGTAATGATAATACTTTACAAAGAAATGACAAACTATTCCTCTTTCAACATTCTTAATAGTACCAGACATAAATACTCGGCTGATGTTATGTAGTAAATATTAGGGACACACAAAGGAACATCTGCATCAAAACTTAAGCTTCTTAATTCATTTTTTTTTATTGTTCCTAATCCTTTTCAAAGTGAACACTACCTCTCCCCTCTTCATCCTTTTTGCAGAAAACAAAATGCGTTTTGAGTTTGACATTGAGGATAGATGGTGGTTCCCTTTATTGTGTGAGCGGCCTGAGCAGATGTAAGAGTTGGCATTACAGGCAGATGTTTGGTGGTCATTTCATCAAAATGTCCCTCTCTTAAACCAGCAGCTTAGTCGTGACACCGATTACTGGAAAGCTACACGGATTTCATAAAGCCAGAAGAATTTAATCTGCTTCCACTGTGACTGCATGAAAAATCCACGCATGACACTTAACATACACATAAATTACATAAATGACTGGTTTGGTAAAGAATGCATGAACCCATGATATATAACCTTATTTTTACTCATTTGGAAGCAATTTAATTTCATACTGCTCATCCATCAGCCTCAGGGAGTTCAAACACATGACACGTTAAATTGCTTATGTTCACACCCTCCCTCTCTGAGAAAAGTCGATAAAGTTGGAAGCGAAACAATAGAAGGGACAACAAATGAGAAGAAGCTGAAGTATTTTCACAATGTTTACAATAGTACAGCACAAGACAACAAATTCAACACGGTATAAAATAATACAGACTTAAAGGAGAAGGCTCAGAAGACACATTATAAAGGCTCCATTACAATGGTTTGTTTGTATAAAATCAGCTCACATTGACCAGAAGGTTATTACCACTCGTTGAGATTGTTTTTGGGTGGAAACCAAGTGTTCAAATTATCTTTGAGAGAGAGAGAGAGAGAGAGAGAGAGAGAGAGAGAGAGAGAGAGAGCAGTCCCTCTTGTGAATGGTTTGCCTTTTTATACAATAAAGTTTTCGATATTCAATTCAGGTGATCCCTTTTCTTCCCCGATGCCTCTTTCCTAGCTGTCAACGGCAGCTGTTGATGCCAAGGAGCGATTAACTCAAAGAGCATTTTGTCGTTTTGCTATTCATCGCACCAAATTCAAATCAAGCAACATTTTTGAGTGCATCTCGATCAATATATCTAATTAAGTATGCCACGTCGCCCTACCACAGAGCAACAATGGCAGCAGATGTCTATAAGTGCGTGAGCTGTTGAAGTTTCCTGCTGCAAATCCTGTAGGATTATCTTGCTGCACTGACGACCACTAAGCAGTAAGATGACAGCGATAAGAACGCTGTAAGATAAAACTTGTGATGTGATAGTTGGCGACGCCATCTTTAACTTTTTTTAAATACAAACCCCGTACCTCATGTACAATATGTTACGGGAGATAACTCTTCCAAGAATCTTGTGTGTCCATTTTACTTCATGTGTCAAACGTTGGGACGCAATAAATATTTTCCACCAGATAAGAGAAACTGCCTGGCTCTTCAGTGAACACTGAAGACATTGCGGCCTTGTTAGAGGAATCAGTCTGCTCCGTACATCACTTCCTTGTTTGCACTGGAGAAAAATATTTAGTCTATTCCCTTCATGTTGTCGTGGAGATAACTCGCTGGTCACATAGCTGTGGTCTGTTTGATGCTGTGGAAGCTGATCCGGGTTGGAGACGTGGGGATGGACATGGCTCGTGCCACTCTCACTCGAAGGGCGTGGTTGTCCTGCCAGCGGTGCCACCTTTTCCTTACTGCAGAACGTACCTAAAATGTTGGGGATGAATATGATATTATTGTAATTATTATGGATACTTTGTATATGCAAAGAAGAGTGAATGTTATAACTCAAAACTGTGATGTCTTTTTTGTCAAAGGGATAATTTGGCGTTTTGGGAAATACCTATATTTGCTAAATGTGAAGATAAATATCACACTTATGTTTTTATTAAATATGAATCTACAGCCAGGTACCAGTTGGGTTAGCTTAGCATAAAAAATGGATAGAGCTTGTTTTGTTCTTTCCAAAAGGTAAAAAAAAAAAACTACAGCACCTCTAAATCTCACTAATAAACATGTTATATCTCCTTTTGTTTAATCCACACGAAAACCAAAGTGTAAAAACAAGTTGTGACAGAGCTAGGCTAACTGTTTCCCCCTGTTTCCAGTCTTTATGCTAAGCTAACCAAACGTGAGCTTCATACTGAACAAACACGTATTTGTGTCAATGTCAAACTATTCTGTTAGTGTTGCATCCTACAGAGAATTCAGACAGAATACATGATATAAACTATTTGATTATTAAAGAGCAATATGTAGGTTGAAAAGCTTACAGGGATTTAGTTTAGGTTATTGGAAATAATCCCGTTGAATGGATTAAAAGGAAAGTTATTGTGTGTATGCACTAAAAATAGTAAATATTGTTGATTCAAAATGGATATGAGGAGAAAAGAGGCATGCTCTCCCCTCTAACAAAATCATGTTACCCTCTTGTTTCCCTTTTCAAATCAGTGCAGGACAAGAAGACAATGTTCTGCAAACAAGAAGACTGATCCATGTGGGCACTGAGCACCACAATCTAAATGTCCGGAACTCAAAGCTATCACTTAATGCCACACAATTGCTGTTGCCACAGACAATTTTGAACTTGTATTAAATGATAAACCAAAATGTGTGACTCACATTGTTCACATTTCCTCATCAAATTAGCCGCATCTCCTCCACTGATTTTAAATCATTTGAGGGCCGTAAAAGAGCGGCAAGAGTGTCTTTCGTTTTTCACAATTACGCTGACAAATGTGTAATTCTTGTAATGGCATTAATGACTTCAAACTGCTGGAAGTCCAGCAGTTTGCTTTCATTGTAATTAGATGAAGATGACAAAGGATCTATTTGCATATCTAATCAACATGCTACAATTTCAATGCTGAGAAGATCTCTCGGCATTGTTTTCCCTTATGAAAACAACCTGACCGTGCCCCTTGCTTGAACTTAGCAAAAATAAATATAACTGGAGGGTCGTTAGTAAAAAAAACACGACTAAACAAATCAAGGAAATCCATGTAGGGCTCTATTACGATCGTGTATCAAGAAACACAGTGACAACTTAATCAAATTCATAAATAGTCTTTTGCAAAACTCCAGTGACTCACCTCTCCATTTAGGAAGCAGTAAAACACTGACACAAAGAACCCCTGTAGAGTACGAAGACAAGATTACTTTTAAAAGAGGTAAATGCAGCTTCATCAGAGAATTCAGATGGTGCATTCATGGGAAGAAAAAGAAAAATTAGGTGTTCAATTTTGAGAGCGAATTGAGTCATGTCAAATATAATTATTGACTATAAAAGAAGCTCTGTATGAAAACCCATTTTCCACCCACTCTGTCTCAAAGTTAAGCACAGAAGATGGAAAGATGGAAAAAAAAAATGGCCATAGAGCAGAAATCATGCCCACATGGCCCCGTTAATCCCGTCATTGGAGAGCACTGAACAGGAGGCAGGGGGGGCCATATTGTGTGCAAGCAAAGCCAGGATGCTACTTCAAATCATCTTCCCACAAGAAGGCTCATTAGCGCCAAAAGAAGTGACACGGCACTGCTGTAAAATACATTGAGAAATCTGTATGACTCGCACTGTTCACTTTGTGCACTGTGTGCGTGGGTTCTCGAGCGCTGACCTGTGTCACACAACATCAGTATCCTTAGTCTCACCTGAAAAGACTGCAAAAAGGAGTTGAAATAGATGAAAACTATTTGTGAGATGTCGTCCTCCCCCGGATTCACAAAGAAGAGCATGTAAGTGATGCCCAGCAGAGGTAACAGGACCAGTGTTGCTTTCACTGCTTTCCTGGAAATACAGGGATGGAAAATCATCCAAATTGATTTTCGAACAGCCATTTACATCTCAAAATATCAACACGTTATTAGAGATGAAGCCTCCTTTGCAAGATGGCTACAGTACTGGTTTCTATAAGACTTATTTGGTAATAAGGCATTTCTAAATGTTCGTGTTTTGTTTTCTTGGTAATAAACCACCAGGTCTGCAGTAAGCCATGTCATTAAGTTTAAATATGCAGTGCAGTATTCAAGGTTGATAAATTGAAAGACATTTATTTAGATTTTGAGGTTCTGCAGCTCCAATGTTCTAGTAATTCTGGTGAAAATGACAGCATTTTGAAAGAACCATCCTATTTCCTATTTCAACTATTTATTCCTGACAGTCCTGTCCTCCACTCACTTAAATCTGCATGGCTCACGTCAGCATATCTGTCCCACCATGCGATTGTGAATCCAACTCCAGCCTGTAAAGCCTGAATTGAAGTTGTCTGAGCTGTGACTCTACAAACTCACTCAAAATAATCCCCCCCCCCAAGGAGAAAAATACACTTGGAAAAAGTAATCAAAGGTGAGAAAGCAAACTCAGAGGTTTGCCACCTCCAAAGGTGACTGGTGGGGCAAAATTAGACTCTCTTGCACAAAATACTACAGAATAAATAATTACTTTGTGCTGACTCATGTCAATTTGTTTCTGTAGACTTTAGAAGCAGAAGCCATAAAGATAATTGATCAGCTCTGGCAGTGATTTCACTTTGTCGTCATAAACATTGGAACCTTTGATCCTCAAATATCTTCTCTCTTGAGAGGATTTGTTTGAAATTAAGTCAGAATTTAAACGGTGACAGTAATTGTAAAGGTTAATATTAATTTGCTCTCTAAATCAGCTGCTGTGATGCCAAAAACAGAAGGAGAAAGTGTCATTTCTATATTTCTGCAATCATTAACTCACCTGTACTGTATTGTTTCAGACGTGGTTGAAGCTCTTAGTTTGGTCATGAGAATTCTTACAATGTTGAAGAGGAAAACAAAGTTTATCTAGAAGAAAAACACACAAAATAATCAGTTTTGACCCAAGTGCTAATGGCTTACTTTGCAATACACCAAGAGCAATTTTCTGCAGCCAACATGCTCCGCTCATCGAATACGGAGGAGGAGGAATGGAGGGCAGACACAAGTCAAAGCCCCCTCCTCAACAAGAACTGCTCGCCGCACTGCTACATGCCGGTAACAGCTAGTACCAAACCATTAGCGGATACTTTCCTATGAATATAATTCCCTATTCCCTAGTTTTATGCGTGGAAATGCCTGAACCCATCAGCAACATTAATTCCACCTTTCCAGAAAGCTAGAACCACGATGGAAATAGCTTTCATTATAAAAGCATTTTCATTTAAGGGCATATTTTTTCATCAGTTTACACCTTCAAGCAGGCGTAAGGGATAGAACTCAATGTTAGTGTCAATTGTGAATTAATGGTTCCAACAAATAATGTGGAAAATAACAGCAGTGGATGCTCAGTTTCTGTGTTACCGCTCACCAGAAGCACAAGAATAACTGGTCCCTGGTAAATGTAGTCCATATATTTTCCAGGTTCTTTACCAAACCAACATCTGTTGACAGCGGAAAATAAATAATCAATACCGGAAAATGTAAGAAAAATATTACTGTTGAAAAAAAGTAATTGTTTGGATACTTACTGTTCATTTTCATAATATAACTTTCCTATGGCCCAAGCTATTATTATAGGGCATGGAATACCTGGAGTGAAGATATAAAAAAGTTCATGTAAGTCGGAAATGACGGAAAAAAACACTTCAGCATAAAAGGGAACAAAATTTGATTGGAAAAAAAAGTGATGAATTAATGTAGCAATCCACATTTGGTAACCGAACTTCAAACGGCAGAGGGAGTCAGAATAATGAAGGTGAAAACCACGGAATGTATATATTTATTTTACCAACTGAACCCTATTACTTTGAGCAACTTGATCAAAATGGAGGTCAGGCTACATCCCCCCCCCCCAAAAAAATGAAACATGCTCTCACTTTGTTCTCCTGAACAACATTTTAAACCTAAAGTGGCTCCACAGTCATACACATGATTACTCATAGAGGTCCAGTAGAGAAATGATGGATATATGTATCTGAAAAACAGATGTTCTGAAGAAGGTGCTGGTATTCTCAGAAACTTTGTCAATGTTAATAATACATTTTGTGAAATGCCTGGAATGAGATAATGAGATGACATATGTATGAAAATCATTTTTAAATCCTCTCAGAGAAGAAACTGCAGAGAGTACATGTTAAACTCTCCATTTTTCACGTTAGGCCTACGAGCGCTGTCTGTTGAACATGGACCACATTTCAACACTGATCTGTCACGTTAACTGGAGCTGTTTGGGGAACGCACACCCAAAAATGAGCTGAGGTCACGGCACTGACATGATTTGAGGAGAGGACGGCCACATATTTGGCTGTGGGGATTTCATTTTATCAAAGACCAAGTGTGCTTGAATCATCTGTAATAAGATACAACCATTTGAACTTTGGGTGCCCTCATCTTCTTTTCAAAACAGACACCACTTTTAGGGATAAAAGGATATATATTTTTTTTTGCAATTTAGATTTATTTTTCTATTTCTCCCATTTTTCACACTAGCTCACTTTGCATCTACTGCAGTCTAATCGTTTCATGTCAACGTGGTCTGCCTTTCAAAGCTTTTGCTGAATTCTTTTTTTTTTTTGTGACCACATTTTTTCAGTTTTCCCACGCCATCCCCACAGCGTTGCATAAACAAGCAGATATACAAATTATATATAGCATTCATAAGTACAAAAATGAAAGAGGAGCCGCCTCAGCATTAGCCCCTTTTTCGCTGCGTCTTAAGATCAAAGTAAAAAAAAAATAATAAAGAAGTAAAGCCCTCTGGAATATATCACTGCTACACCAAAGCACTCATCACTCAGTTCAAGCAAAGTCTGCTCCAACAAGCAATTCATTCTCGACTTTCACCCTGCCAGTACGCCGACAACCTCATTTTCTAAAATCCTTTGAGTGCACAAATCAAATGGCGACAGAAAACTGAATGAAACTGGCCGAGTGTTGTTGACAAAGTGGATCAAATGTTCTGATTAAAATTTACTTTAATTGAGCTGAAAAGCTCTAAATCTATTTGGATCCAGCATCAGGCCTCTGGTGGAAGATAGATTTAATCTGCCCCACTTCCATCATTTCCTCAATGAATTCTTATTAATAATCTCTCAAGGGTTATATCAGAGACACAATGAGAAATCTAATATCCTCACTGGCTCTTGGTTTCCACAACACAGCAGTTGTAAGAAAGAGAGAAGAATATCATTTGTACAGATTGTATTTATATTATATACTGTATAGTCCATACACTACGGCTACCTGTTTCTGATTTAGTATGACTCTTAAAAATTTATTTTAATTTATTGTATCACATTTTAAGTTAATTATTGTTACATTTTTCCTTTATCTGCCTCTAACCTTCGTTAAGCCATGTTTCTTTGGCTGCACCGACATGTGAATTTCCCCTGCGGGTAAATGATGATATAGACTTTTCACAGATGAGATATCACAAATGACGAGTATTGATTACAAAAAAAAGAAATAATCTTTTTCAAGATATTGTGTCCACTGAAAATACACCCTACTGGGTACGTGGCTTCACATATTTATTGGATTAAAACCAAAAAATCATGTTTAGTACAAAGTTGCAGGAGTAAGACGAAGCTGCACACATCACTGTGACTAATCACAAGGAAAAGCTGTCAGTTACTTGATATTCTAATCACATTAATTAAACTACATTGATATGATGGATATATACCTTTTGGTTATTGCTATTTTAAAGCCAATATGAGCTTCCCAATCATGTCATCCATGTGTCATTACTAATCATAAGTCATCTGCTGGTTATCTTTTTATTTTACATTCCTGTGTTCATAAATCTCTGAGTTAGTTGAGCAGGAACTCGATGCATTAAAGTGTGCGTTTAGTTTCCTTTCTGCAAGAACACACGATGTCCATTACATAACGGAGACAAAGAGCAAATGTCAGACTGGCTCAGGGAAGCATGCAAACATTCCATGTTTTTTCTGCCTCAGGATGGAATATTTCGACGCCTTGCTAATGCTGTACAGTAGTTTAAGTCAAGGTGAGCATCGATAATTAATGTGGTCATACAGGGCATCTGTTACAGTGCATGTTCAAAACTCATTCTATCACTGGAATTGAAGCACAAACAATTACATTTTCCACACTGCACCGGAGCTCTGTTCTCTTGAAATGAAAGTACCATCTTGAGTGTGGAGCACTAAAAGGTCTCACTCTGCTTCTCTCGCTGACCAGACTTGAACTGCTTTCAGTGAAGCAAAAGTTCACTTTGGATGGGGGAGAAATATCATAGAACACTGTGGGTCAGCTGTTCCACAACCTGCTTTCAATTTAAATCAGCACTCGTACAACGTATCAAATTCTGACCGAGATCATTTTGGGCAGGTATTTACAATATTTGAATGTATGTAAGCATCAAAAAACTGTCGGTTAATCCAAAACATTAATAATAAATAAATCATGAGCATACACCATCTGTTGGAGAAGATTATGTGTAATGATCGAAAGCTCTAAAACAGCAATTAAATGGACCATGACTGTTTCCAGAGTCAAGAACGACGTTTGAAACACAATTTGTTTTCTTGATTTGGAATCACTGAACACCAAATGCATATCAATCTACCAAATCAATGCATATGAGGCCAGAGAGGATCAAGAGAAGCTGCACAGAAATTGGGTTTTGTGGCCTGGCCAACTCTGCTTGTAATAGCTGCTTCCTCTTCTAAGTTAATTAGTCGGCCGTTTTATTCTTCGTCAATGAAGATTTCTTTGGTTGATTTGTCATTTTTTATGCTTTTTTCACGCTGAATAAGTTATTTCCAAGAATCTTATGAGCACAGGATTTAAAGTGGTGTTTCAATTCTTTGTGGACAAACTCAGTTTTACAGATCTGTTTTAAATCAACTAATTGATTAATCGACTAAAATTTTCTTTGACTGAGAACAGATTCAGATTCTAGATTCCAACAGTTGCAATTTGAATTAAAATCCATTCGTGAAAACTATTTTAAAATCTAGAAAAACATGTTAAACCAGAAATACCTTTTTTTTTTAAACATCATCATCTACATTGATTTAAAATAAAAGATATTGTAAGTCTCCCAAACTGCATCTTCCAGGCCTGAGTGAAGTGTTAATGCACCGTCGGCATGGACATACTCACACCAGCCGATGAAAAGGAAGACCCACTTCCTGAGCTTATCAGTTGAATAAGTCATCACGATGGCTGTGTGAAGGTAACATCCTTCAACAAACATCCAGAAGAAGTTTGTCACCACAAAGTAGTTGTATATTGTTGTAATAAATCGACACCAAGGCTGAAAAGAACAACAACACCAGACAGAGTTACTGAATTGCAACAGAAATACTTGATATCAAATTGTGTATAGCTTATCTTAACATTTCTACTTTATAAAGTATGTAGTATATGTGTGTGTGCCACCCAGTGAAACGAAGCTTTTACCTCATTGCTCTCATGGATATTGTGGTCGATCAGCTGAAGCAAAAACCACATAACGTTCCTCAGTATGAACGTGGTGATCAAGTTCCAGTGGATGATGTTTCGAAGACATCGTATGCTCCTTTACCCCAAGCCAAATAAAAAACATGGGTTATCAGGCTATTCAAATTACTTGAGATTCCAGATTCTTTTTTTAATAACACTGTCCGTAAGTTATTGGCCAATCATGTCACAGATAGAGGCTCCAACATTACATGCAAAAAGTATGTAAAACCTTTTATTCATTTATTTTTTACATAATTTCATGTATCCAATCAATTCCCTTACTTCCTGCTTGCACTATACCCATGGATGCACAGACAACGATCACTGGATTACTTTGACACTGAAGAAAATTAAAAAATCTGGAGATTTTCAGGCAATTTCTGGAGTTATGAGACAAATCTATTTTTCTATGATTTCTAAGCCGATTTATGGACGTGCCAGATTGTAGATTGTTCCATGAAATCTAAAGACATTAGTCTTAGAACAAACTGTTGATTATATTGGTCTTTAATCTGAAGAAATCAATACTTGAGAAGCTCACATTGATCAAACCATAGTGCACAACAAAGCTGAGACTGTTGTTTGTTCTGTCATTGTAGAGGTAGGTGTGTGTGTGTGTGTGTGTGTGTGTGTGTGTGTGTGTGTGTGTGTTAACCAGGACATGAAAAAGTAAAAACTTCATGTTTGTTATAAAATGCCCACCGTGTCTATCTTAGCCTGAGTGCTCCAGCTAAGCCACATCTAGTCATTTTTACATAAGTGAGTTAATGATGTGCAATCCAAGGATATTATGTGAATTTCCCTGATTGTCCTCTACGAGGTCTCATGCGTACAGGACACATTTAGATAGGGACTATTTCTGTACTTGCCTTAAGCACAAGAAGAGAATGAAGGCCACGACTAGAGCTCCCACAGAGATACAATGACCTAGGTAGTTGATGATCAGCGCAATTTTATAATGCATTGGATATTTTCTCTGTAAGGACAACACATGAGTTACTTGATAATAAAACAAAGAGAAGAGATACAAAAATACATGAATAGAACACAAGTACATACAGTTTATATATATATATATATATTCATCTATCTATGCATGTTGTTTTGAAGTTTAACTAAAGTGAGAGAAAGCATACTGTAGATAGATATGTGTGTCAGACACATTTAGATGTCACGATTTCAAATGATCTGAGAAAATGGAGCAAGCTTCAGCAATAAGGAGACATGCTGTGAGGTAACAAGGCCAAAATTCATTACATGCAATACATTAGTGTTACAGTTTGGCCTCAGGCATTGCTTTTATAGGGACCCAGAAGAGACTGCTCCTATGTATTTGTTAAGTAGTCTGGAAACAACAGTTTAAGCAGTTTAGCTGCACTACAGAGAAAAATAAAAATGCACTTCAATAAGTGTTCAGCAGTCAGAGCACCACATTACTTATGCTAGATCTGATTGGTGTTCCATGTGTGCCATTAGCGTAACTATGACAAGCATTTTTCTGAGATGCTGAACAGATTGCTCACAGAACGAAGGACATAGCAGGATCGCTCCTGCGACGCGTACTAACCTTCTCCTCCAAAATAGGTTCACAATTGGAGTAATTGCTCTTCAACGCCCAGGTGCCATTATCCATGCATTCCCTGTAAGCGCTCCCTGCAAGACAAGAGTGAGGAGCACGGTTGAGAAAACAATGAAAGTGTACTGGAGCATTGTTGCAAACATGGATAATGTTAAACAATACGGGTTGATCTCTAAGATGAGTTTGTCTGTTCAAACCTCACATCTGTATTCAACATCAAGGTTAGTGATATTGTGCAAGTGTACAAAGTATGTAGGCAAAAACATCCTTTTAATTTCTATGAGCTCAGTCCAAAGTTGACTATTTGTTTGAGTCTCAGACAAAATACCAATTCAGCAATAGACATTTTATCCATGGTGGGGAACTGCAAAGCCTCTTACTGTCAGTTTATTTGCATATATTTCAAAACCCTGCATTCCACAATCAACTTTGAACTGAGTTTTTCCATTTTGCAGTCCCCCGCCACGTGTTTCGCCGGGTCCTTTTATCTCTTCGACACAGAAAAATGTTTCTGGAGTCGGGTGCAAACAGAGTAGAAGAAAATAACCTTGACACTTTTATTGCTGCTGTATTATGAGCAGCCACTTAAAATGATAAAGTGAAGCACTCTGATGCTAAGCTATACATTATAGGTGTAGGTTTTTTTCTCATTAGTTGACAACTTGCAGCAATTATGGGTACGCTGCCGTCAGAAGCTACAACTGTGATTCATACTGTTAGAAATAATAATACTAATACAAATATTTGAACTAATAATAATAATAATAATAATAACAACAAACAATAATAATGATGATCATAATGCACAGGTCAAGCTGCACATAATCAAACTGTTCAACATTATAACGTAAATGTGTGCTTGAGTTGCTTCCTATCATACTATTTCTTGTGAGTATAGTCCTCGGGCCACCATGATATTTCCCTGAACGGATGAATGAATAAATGTGTTTATCTCAATGTTCAGATAGTTGTGTATTTGTTTTCCCCTCTGGGATTAGTAGTTCAGACAGTGTAGACGGTTATGTTTGTATTCATTCATCTTGTGTCAAAGATCTTTGTAAAGAACAAAAGAATATGGTAGTTGGTAACAAGTGAGGAAAACCTCCGCCTCACAAATGCCTCCAGTGACTCTTGGAGCTGTGGCAGCAGCAGAATAAGATCCTTAGCATTCGAATTAATGTTACGTAATGTGACATTTGTATTTGGAGAGCAGAAAACTGCTTGTGGCAGCTAGAAGGAGCTGAACAGAACCTTCTGTACTGTGATTAGACAATGCTTTGTGCTGCTCATGAAGCAAAATCACAAATCTCAGTCTTTTGAGCCGTTTAGCACATCGATCAATCAGAGTCGGATGAATCACTCAAGTAGTTGACTGGTTGAGTGGAAGATATGAATCCTGAAACGCAGTAGAACAGTCATTTGCAATGCATCCTTAGACACACCGTGCTTGTTTGTTTGACTACCCCACCATGTTCATTAATCACTTGTCATGTGGCATTTATAGAGTTGCTGTGCAGTGTAGGCAACCATGAGAGGACAGCGACTCTCACATGCATGGTTTGAACATGAACTAATGCTATAAAAGTTAGTTAATATCATTAACAAAACCCTATTAATGACGTATTATCCTTTATATTTAACCGTTTTCCCCATAGACATACAGTCTGTGGTTTTACCTGAGCTGGGTTTTGACGAAGGCCTGGGGCTGGTCTAGAGTGATGTGTGATTAGTCAGCAGTCAGTCAACGGCAGTATAAAGCAATAATAGGTGTTTTGAGAAAGTGTGAGTCACTGCAACCACCAGAGGTCCTTGAACCTTGAGGCATGCAGCCATAACTGGCCACCCAAAATAACCCTCATATTACATTAGCAACACAGAGTGCTTCCCAGATAACGTTTTCTCACTGTGTTTGTGAAACAGGCAGTGCTGTTGCAGAAATAGAGAAAGAGGAGCAGGGTTGTCAGCTGTGTCCCTGTGAGCTGTTCTGCTGAGGCAGGAGTGATTCATGGCGCTGGTGCAGGGAAATCACATTTCTGGCTAACCATCTGTGCATTTACGCATGGTGAAGCTATTCTCTTCACATTTTATATTCACACAGCTCAAATAAAAATCATCGAATCATTTTTTTTTCCAGGGCTGCCATGTGAAGGTGTTGACAATGCTGGAACGACCCCAACACTGTCCACACTCCAATCGGGTAAAGATGCAGAAAAAAAACGAAAGAAATGTGCGATTTCCAACTGACTTGCTCCGTGCCAACATCGCCTCCTCCGCCGGCCACCGTGCCAAACTCTCTTGCTTTTCTTGGATGCACAAATAAATACGTACACGCAAACAAACACAGTATGATTGCTCAAAGATTGGACGGTTGGGAGCTTGTTTCTCGAGATAAATGTTCTCAAATTAAATTAATGTGGAGTGGTTCTTCAATAGGGGATTGAAACCTTTTATATTTTGTGTTATACATTTGTGAAACATTCTTCATTGCGGCTGTGCTGGTACTCTCAGCCGATTTGAAACATTGCCACACGAATAATACAGATCAGCATTTTTCTTTCTTTGTCTTAAATTTGATTGCTCTGTGCTTTAGTTTGTTATCTGTGCTGCTTTTGAGCCGGGAGGTCGGTTTCCTCATGACATGACGTACGCCTCCTCATAACACCGAGCTGCTGCTCATAGCTCATTGTGAATTACCCACTTGTTTCAGCTGTGTTGTGAAATAGTCAGTCGAACAGGGGGCTTTGTTTTTCGGATGAGTTTCAAATCGTAGTGAAGATGAAAGGCTACAATATTTCAAAGTCAAACGATGAAAACTGCACACCTGAGCCAGTTACAGCAGCTTTCCTTCAAGCCACTTGAAATTTAATTGTGCGAGCTGGGGACAGAGTAAACTTGGCCATACCTTAACAGCATTGGAATCTGGCAGCTCATTGCGATTTTGATATTTCATTTAATCAGCAGGAAATGGTGCAAAGCTGCTATGTCATCTACACCGACGTCTGAGGGTTTAAGAGAGGACATGAAGGAGCCAAGAGGTTGCCAACACTCATTTGTATCTTGACACATAACGTGATGAAGGAATAGTAACAATTCAACCAGTCTTAGGAGTTCTCTGGAGCATCTTTTTAAGCTTTGTTTTGTTTTCATGCTTTTTTAATTGATGTATTCTTAATATAGCACGGCTTTAAAGTGTGTTCAGTCTCCTTCTCAGCACCCCAGACAGCCATATTAGGAGCTCCTAATGGCAAGCGGATGCATTCACTCTTGAGAGCTGCTTTGGGAAATGTGTGTAAGCATTTCAGAAAGTTCATGCTGTTAGAAAACAATCTTTAATTGTTTTCTTATTGTTATTATTCATGAATTTTGTGTTGAAAGACAGGAATGGAAAGTATTTCACAACTTAGCTCATGTCTATCACTGTGTGGGTTTTCGTTTAAGGGGCGCCACTTAAGCACTGAATTTTTTACATTTGTCTGTTTTAGTCTTTGGGTCATGATTTGTTTTACACGGTAAGTGATTCACTCTGGGGCTTACATCTCATCTCTAAGTCTGTTGTTTTTTGCTTCCTTTCTGTGTGTCAGTGCCAGGAAAAAGGCGCTCCCTGTGATCAGTATAATGGAAAAATCAAACTGTTCTCTAGACTCCAAATAGCACATATTTATGACCCAGGCGACCTGCGTTTCAGATCATAAAATGTTAGTCTCAAGTGCATAAAACCTGTCAGCACAAACATGCCAACTTCCTTCACAACATCAAAACGCAAACTGTTCCCAAGCCCTTGATTGACCCAGGTTTGATCAAACACAACATGGCAGCTAAACCACTTCACACAGAAAAATAACACTGTCCTGCTCTTGTCACATTTACTCTGTTATACATTTTGACAGAGGTGCTAATCCTTACGAAGCAAAACAAAGTCCCTGGCTCTATAGCATTATCAGTACACGCTCCAAAAATGACTGGATTGCCAAAAAATACATCTCTGGGAGGTTTATCTTGAGGAGATAATTGAAAGTCAAGTCATACATGCATGAAAAAGTATTTAAACTTCGCTCTGAACTTTAATGTTTCCAGGTGCATTTGACTGCCGTCTTCTACCAGTAATTAGCACTTCATTGCTTAAATACGCTAAAGGGAAAAACCTGTTAACTCAAAGCCGACCCTGTCTAATTAAAAAGTCGGTTTGTTTTCAAGGATTATTCGTGCATCTAATTATGTCCTTTGCATTTCTCCAGAAAAATCAAGCTGTTGCATTAAACTGCACATGAAATAAGTGTTCAGAGGGCTTAGAACTCAAATAGACATTTGACAAACTGATGTTTGATCTTTGTTTTGTCATCTTTTCCCTCTGTGAAATTTTGGACACAGACTCTATTAAGGGAACTGCCCAAGGGCGGAAGATAAGACGTTTGAGCTTTTTCTTTCATGCACATCTGTGGCTTGTGCAGAAATATTACTAACATATTTCCAATGACAAAATTAGACATCCTCTTCTACTGAAGATGATTCTTGTAGATTAAAATAGATCGTAAGTAGCGTAAAGATTTTAGTTGGAGACAGTTTTAAGAAGGAGCCAAAAAGATGGGTTAGAATAGTGCAAAGAACCTGCCTGAGCAGAAATCCCACCGTTGCTTTCTTGTTTTCTCAGTGACTGTAAGCCTCTGTGTCATTCTCTGCCTCCTACAGATGACAATTAAGATGGTAGTTGGAGATGTGGCTCTAGAAATGCTGCACCAGGTTTAAAGAGAGACATTTGTCAGGGTGACTGGGTCCTGGAAGCACCCGCAGGGACCAACAAACCACACCAGCTCAGGTCAACGTCCACTGAGCCAGTCAACAGAAGATGGATTTGGCTGCTTGACTGCCCAACCAGCTGCTACCATCCTTTACAGTGACATACAGTTGCTTATTCCTTCTTCTAACCTCCATGCAGCATAGATCAGGGATATCTCTCTTCACAAATTAGCGGCAAATCAGCAAAAGGAAACCTAAACCCCACACCAGGTAATTTTAAGTGGCTTGAAAAATACACGTGTTGCATGTCATGCAGTTTCTCTTGAGGTCTCTGTTGCGT